GGGGAAAGCGGCGGCGGCGACGGTGGGGTTTTTGAGCCGTGGCGGCGCTAAGGGAGCGTGGGAGACTTTCGGGTTTCACAGGACTCCTCGCTGCTTGGGCCGCAGCGCAGAGGATGGCGTTTTTCTAGGCGGGAGAGCACAGCACGGCACTACTTATATATATGTGTGTGTGTTGCCCAGAGAGTTTGAACAGACAAGGATTTCACACAGTGCACGATTTACAGATAAAATTTGCAAGATAAGAGTGATGGCTGTCAACGTGCATAGTTTTAAAGGGAAATATGACAAATTCTTGGCAAATAAGGTGGTGGTGGTTGCTACTTGTGATAGATGCAATGCTTGCTCCTCGGATGTAGAGCAGGGACCTGCTGGTCCAGGTGCATTTGTATTGCAACACCCACAATCCCCTAATACTAGGTGTGCTTGTGGGGGCTGATGAGAATAGTAGGTAAAAAAAAGTCATCATGTTAATTCGAGATTAAGAGGCCCTGCAACAGCCCTGCAGAAATGCAGTAATTCTCAAGTCCTGCTTGTGGGATTCCCAGAGGCATCTTATTGGCATTTGGATAAACTAAGATTTAAAATTAAATGGGCTTTGAAAGTGTACATTACAAAAAGTCCGCAGGTGAAGAATTGAGCAGTGAAAGTCTGATGTTTTCAGCCTGTCACGTGCCTCAAAGCTTACAGTAGCTTCGCTAAATGCCCTGGATTCAAATGTGTCTAGGGTCTGATAAACACACTCTTTGTTTCTGTATGTGGTAAAGACTGAGTTTCGGTGGCCATACTTGGCACATCAACAAGATTTATAGAAGTTTTTGCACTGTGGCTGCATGTTTGTGGTCTATACTGTAATCCTCAGTTTAGTGCGAAACATATGCTGTCTCTAGTTCTTGACACCACAGTTTAAAGAAAGATATTCACAGGCTGTAATGTGTCCAGAGGGACGTGGTGGCGCTGTGGGCTAAACCGCAGAAGCCTGTGCTGCAGGGTCAGAAGACCAGCAGTCGTAAGTTCGAATCCACGCGACGGAATGAGCACCCGTCGCCTGTAGAAAGATATTCACAGGCTGTAATGTGTCCAGAAGTTAGCAACCGGGATGATCAAAGATCCAGACACCAAGTCCTATGAGTTTTTTTTAAGAGAACTTCCTTCCTTCCTTCCTTCCTCTTCTATACCGCCTGTTTGGCTACCAAGGAAAAGACTGAGTGGTCATCTGATAGCCATCTTCAAATACTTGGAAAACTTTCAGGTAGAAGATGAAGAGTGGTCGAAACGACCAGATAGGTGGGGTATGAATGAATGAATGAATGAATGAATGAATGAATAAATGAATGAATGAATGAATGAA